GTAGCCAGAAACACAATATTGCTTCATAAGCATCACAATAATAATAAATAATAATAATAAACAATACATAACGGATGTAATGAATGTATAAACATTAAATAGTACATGAAAATGACTGAAGAGGTCAAAGAACAGTAATTCACAGATTTGAGAAAGTCCCAGAACTACTGAAATTGTTAAAATATAAAAAATATAGAACTTGTGACATTCTTATTCAAGTATGTTTGAAGATATTAAAAAATACAGACTGATATAATGTAAAAAAAAAAATCTTTAAATGGAAATTAAATGACAAACAAAATATTATGGTCATTTAATATTATGAAAGAAGGAGATTCTATACTTATCTCACCAACAGTGGCATATTTTATAAATTTTAAAGCTCCACCCAAATGTAAATGATATTACATACAGTATTTGTACCAGCAGTGTTCAATGACATTGTAGCAGTTGACCTTCCTGCATCATTTGAAATGGCAGACATTTCATTCTTATTTTTTCTCCTGATGTGCTTTACTAGTATGTATAGACAATCTATTTGTCTGTGTAATAATATTTAATTCTGGCTTCAGATTTCATTAATAGATTAATAGATGTACTGTATATGATAATGCTGACAGGCCATTATAATTTTTTGTTTTAGGTGTTAACGGTCAGAGCCTGGAGTCCATCCCATCAAGTCCTGTCACCAAAAAGCCTGGAGGAACTTTGAATCTCTCGTGTAAAGGATCTGGATTTGATTTTGGACAATACAGCATGCACTGGATCAGACAGCCAGCAGGACAAACATTCATCTGGATGGGGGTTATCTGGTATGATGCCAGTAAAACAGTGTATGCTAAAAGTGTAGAGGGACGAATAGAGATCACTAGAGATAATTCAAACAGCATGGTGTATCTGAAACTCTCTGGTCTGACAACAGAAGATACAGCTGTATATTACTGTGCAAGAAATACACAATGATGCAGAAAAAGCACTGAGTCCTGTAAAATCTCTGGATATTCAGTGACTGACAGCAGCTAATGTACCAACTTCATTCGGCAGCCTGCAGGAAAAGCCCTGGAATGGGTTGGAAGGATGTGTGGTAGCGGTAGCACACACTACAGTGATAAACTGAAAAGTAGATTTCAAGTTACCAGAGAGTCTTCCAGCAACACAGTAACTCTGAAAGGACAGAATATGCAGACTGAGGACACAGCTGTGTATTACTGCGCCAGAGAGTCACAGTGACACAGAGCAGTTGCTGCCTTGATAAAAAAAACACACTAGCACTCGGCACACAAATACACAGCTTTATGCTAAGAATCATCACTAAGCTACTTCTAATTACTGATTCAGTTTCAGATGCAGATTAAATACTCATAAATACTCATTAAATATTCATAAAAATGACTCAAACATTAGTGTACATTCTTTATTAAAAACGTACCATATTGCTTTCCAGTTATAAATTATAATTATTTTTCATTATTTCATGATAGTGAAGTCTATTTTTATGGTTTTACAATCTTTCAGACAGTCTAGATATTATTACTGATACTGTCATCATTGTATTGTTTATTTACTGATTTATTCTTATGAAGCTCATGACTATGAAAAAAAAATCCAATTAATCTCTTTTACAGCAATAATGCTAGTAGTCTGTACTTGCTAGTGTCTGTTACTTCAGTGCCTGCTGAGGAGCAGCTGTTCGACTCACTGAACACAACGTCTCTTAAGAAAACATTTACTGCCTACCAAGTAGTTATAAATGTTTGTATTTTCATAGTTAATAGTAATTTCGTAGTTTAATAGTTATAATGTTATAAGTTAATTTGATGAATGAGTAAATCATTTAAATCAAATCTGATTAAAGTTTAAGTTTGTATAAAACAACATCTACTGCATTACATTTAAAGACAGATAGATGTAATCTTTTGAAATTATATACTAAGTAAGTCTACTAGTTTACTAATCTAATGATAAGTCTACATTATTAAGCTTAAATAAACAAACAAACAAACAAATACATGTCACTTTTGAATGATGGTCAAATGATGCTCTTTAAATAAGTGCCATCCTCTTATGGAGTGGCCAAAAATATATCATTTTAAATAGCTACTGTACATAAAATTATACCATGTAAAATCATGTTGTTATTATTCATAAATGTATATTTAGTATGTAAATGGAATTTTAGAAATGTAGGTCAATAGCAACTCCAACAAACGTCTTGATTTTAACTGTACATACTCCCAGTATTGATATAATTGAACAAATTAGCCTGTTTGAATATTTTGAAACATCCTTTTGGTCTTAAATCTGTATGACGTCACCACCCTTCATTTGTGGTACATATATGTGATCAGTCCTTCTCCACTGGATCTCATATGAGTTCACTTCACTGAATCAAAGATGTCCAACAACCTGCTTTACCTTCTGTTTTTACTGGCCTTTGCAAGTGTGTCTCATAATATGAAACCTTACACCATCTCAAACTGTAACAGTAAATATTCACTCTACCTGATGTTACCTTATTTCTATTTTATTTTTCAATAGGAGTGAAAGGTCAGAATTTGGAGTCCATTTCTTCTGTAGCAGAGGTAAAGCCTGGAGAAACTCTGAGTCTTTCCTGTAGAGGATCAGGATTTACTTTCGGAAGCTACCACATGCAGTGGGTCAGACAGCAACCTGGAAAAGCACTGGTATGGATGGGCCGTGTTTGGAATAATGGACAAGGACAAGACTATGCTAAAAGTTTTGAGGGACGAATAGAAATTACTAGAGACAATTCAAAAAACATAGTGTATCTGAAACTGTCTGGACTCACAGAAGAGGACTCAGCTGTGTATTACTGTGCAAGGCAAGCACAAACCTGTGTGCAAATGATACAAAAACGGATTTGTACAAACACACTTATAGTTTAAAACTGCAGTTCTCATCTGTGACAGTAGGTTGCAGTAGAATCCAACAAGTAAAGTCCACTACACAGTGACTCACACAATCACAGTTTCTTTTAAACACCTTCTCAACATTTAATCAGACGTTCTATCAACATCACTTTACTTTTCTATGGTTCTTCAAAAATGTCATGAGATAATGTTCATTTCACAAACATTATAGGTTATGTTAGGCTTGGTCATTAGAGTGAATAAAAAACCTAAATAATATACTGTAGATATAAATATTTCATACTAATCAAACATTAAAAGATGTAATCAAAGTAATGAATATTAACAAGCCCTTCAAACACTGGATTCTGGTTATCCTCTGTGTAAGTGTAAAAGAACATCTCAGTGATCTTTCATCATTTCCTCATTATGCATAGTCAAAATAATCTACGATAGGCTGCAAGTATTTATATCCGGCTGAGCCGAGTACAGCTGTAGAGTCATATAACACTCACAAGATGAAGAATATACATATATTACTAATTTTGTTCAACCTAAACTGTGAGTTATTATATATATGTATGTGTGTGTGTGTGTGTGATTGTTTTAACTTATTATTAAAAAAATCTCCTACTTTCTCTTTATAGGCCTGCAATGTCAAAAAATGGAGTCCATTGAAAGCACAGTTGTGAAAAGGCCTGGAGAAACTCTGACTCTGTCCTGTAGAGGATCCGGGTTCAGCTTTGACTGCTGTATTATGCACTGGATCAGACATCAAGCTGGAAAACCACTTGTGTGAATGGGTCTGGGCTACAGTTCTGGAAGTGGACATAAGGCAGAATCCTTTAAGGGGAGGCTTGAAATCACCAGAGATGATTCGAAAAGCATGATGTATCTGAAACTGTCTGGACTGACAGAAGAGGACTCAGCTGTGTATTTCTGTGCAAGAGAATCACAGTGACACTAACGTATGTGGCAATGATACAAAAACTGGTCTAGACAAACTTATAGTTTAAAACTGCAGTTCTCTTCTGTGTCAGTAGGTTGCAGTGGAACACAAGAAGTCGTCCACTACATAGTGACACACAATCACAGAAACACAGAGACTCACATTCACAGAATACTTTCTTTTAAACTTCTCAAAACTTAATGAGACATCAAGATGCATTTGATGCATTTAATCAAGATGAATTTATATGCTTCATTTTCACTTCACAAACACTCTAATTCAAAGTGTACTATAGTTGTACTCCTTTAAATGCATGAAAACTATATAAGCTTTATTTATGTGTGTACATACAGTATAATGCACACATAAGGTCCTTTTTTCCAGGATGTGCTGCTGATCTGAAGCCTAGTGCTGGTTCAACACAAAAGTAAATTCATACTGTAGCATAGCTTCAAAGAGCTGTAACTATATAATAATCTGTGTGTGAAAGGGTAAATGTCAGTATACTTCTCGTGAACAAACATCCAATGAAAATACAAAGATGTACAGCTGAATGCAGTGTTTAATAATAAGCAGCAAACAATAACAAGAAAATAATACATTTTATGCAAAACTAACGAAGACAAATGTAGATTGCATCATATAGTCAGAGCTACAAGTTTTGCTGATGTTTCATTGTAATGTCTGGATCTGAAAATTTAAATGACATGACATCTATGGTTATAATAACCAGGTCCATTCTTAGCAATTGCAGTGACAACAGAAACAACAATTATGGTGATGATGGTTGTAATGATGGCACAAATATTGGCAGCCAGAGCACAGCGGCTGAATTTCTTTGCTCCTTTGACATCTCTCCTATACTTCCTATTCATTGCCTGTGAAAATAAAAACACAAAATAATTTTTTCCACAACATCTAATTGCCATTTGATCATAATATATGGCAAATATATGGCTCTCCGAGTCAAAAAGTCAGTTTTGACCTGAGCCACTGCTTACAATGTGTTAGTAATTGCAGCAAAATTCCTTACCTTCAAGGAGCATATCAATGCAGTCGTACCCAGAAACAGGCAGTTGCAGAAGGTGATGGCGAACACAGAACAGCGTAAGTAGTCTTTGACTTTTACTTGGACTTTGCGAGGACCTGGGAGGTTTT